ACCGAGTTTTACGCCACCTCACGTAAGCGGGGTGAAACTCCACTGATTTTTCCGACACAGCGAAAAAAGACAAGACAGATTTTCATTTTCCACAAGTGCATCCTATGACGACTCTGAACTATCGTAGAGGCCAAGCCCCCCCCCTTACATCCACCAAAACAGAAACCCGTTATGTCAATATTCGGCCCCCAATCAGCCGGCTTCGGCAAAATTGTCTTCGCGAAACAGTACGCGAATGGTACCTGATCGCGCAATATTCCAATAATAGATTTCTTACCATAACCTCGCCAACTCGTGCTCTGAACGCGCTGGCAAAGCGACTTGAACGATGGAGATAAGATATGAGATCGATCAAAAGACGAGGCGCCACGAAGGCTCACCCCCACTGTTAGAGCGAATGGAGAAGCCTCTGCCCACTGCTACAAAAACATCCAAAAACACCACCGCCAATTCCACACGAATTAGTCGTGAAATATGTTTTCCACTAGTCTTTTTATATCACTAGGGTGAAACTCCATTGCTTGATAATGTCCTGGGTAAAGTTCTCGAAGAAAATCCAACGACATCCAGCCGAGACCAGAGTATGGTCCAAGACCTGTGCCGCTTACCCCCCATTTATCAATCAGCGACCCCGCGCTATGCCACATGCCGATACTAGGCAAATGAAGTACTTTCCGCCTAAACGTGTTCACCGCTGATGCCACACCTCGCCATTGTATCTACCGTTGAGGAATTTCAAGTGAGAGCAAGATTGCAAGATTCATCATCATCCCCTCTCACCTGCTCCATCCATCGATAACTCATTTTCTTCCAATAAGGATTCGTATCAGGCTCATTTACACACAGAGGATGACCAACAGCCTCGGTCTTAGTCCATGGCATGGTGAAGAACCTGATCATTATCATGATAATCATACTCTCAACAGATGTGATCAGGTTGTTTATCGTCTTATGTTATAATGCAAAAATTTTCTGTGAAATGAAGGTGAATGAACAAATATCCGCTCAACAATGAGTTCAACAATTTTCTCTCTTAAGAATCGGGAGGACAATCCCCCCACTTGAAACGAGTTATTTTGAAGTTACTAAATTCCGAAACATGCGCCCGATCGCGAATAACAGTTCTAGAATGTGGTGAGCACAGATGACTACTATCATCAAGTCTAAGTCATTTTACTGCCCTTACATTTGTAAAGGCACTCCGAGCCTCTCAGCTAAGTGAACATGCGTGTATGAGGGTGGATTCGCGATGATCGCATGAGTAACCCATCTCATAGAACTAACACCTAACAACAGTTGAAGAAAATACGCTATCACTTCTTTGCACGCATGCACACTCACTCTGAACCGACGCCCAACTGCCGACTTTATTTTCCTGCCAACCCGGAGGGAAGTAGATTTCCCTCAGCGTGTGTTGCATCTCTGGTCCGTGGAACATGAAGTGATAGAGGTCTCGCGGACTCAGTAACAGGTCAGGACCCATCCCTGGGTTCTCCTCCGCATATCTGATAGGAATCCACCATAACTCCAGAAACTGGCAGAAAATGCAGACTAACCACAGACTGAATTTTGATCTGTGGTTAATTTGCATTTTCTGCAGTTTACAAAAAACCCATAAACCATCACTAAAATCCCTCTCTGGTGAAAGTCAGATCGTGCTTAGTTTCTCAACACTGACTGATAGGTGTTGAGATGTGGGTTAGACCCCTTTGAGTAAAATCCGGATGGCCAACGACGCCGCAGTGCTGCAAGTGACATCCTACTACGGTATTGGACGAAGAAGAGGAGAAGGACTTCAGATGGTCCACCACCCATCACAAGATGGAGTGATTGGCGAGCGACTAACACCTTCTCTGGTGTCAGAAAATTCCAAACGATATCAAATTCTATCTCATACACCTCGATGCCTCACTAAATGCAAATATCCCGACTCAGTTTTAGAGACTACTGCGATAAAAGGACCAACGAAGTTAGACCTATTATGAAGCTTTGTGACGAGCTGATCTTCATGTGTCCAATCTTAATGCTACGTAATATCAACAATTATGTTGGTGTTTATGCATTGCAATTCATTCAACTACACCACACTAAATTCGCATCACATTCCCCCTTACTTCATAAGGGTCTCTGGTTGCCAATGTCCCTTCTGTGCTAGTGCGAGTGGGAAGAACTCGATTCCCTGCTTAGTAACGAAATCTCGGAACTTATCGTGGGTGCATATTCGGGATCGGTGGCCTTGCGCGTTCAGAGCCTGAACGGAAAAATAAAAGGGCTGGGCCGAGAATCGAACTCGGGACCTCTCGCACCCAAAGCGAGAATCATACCACTAGACCACACAGCCAATAAAAACTTCCTCCAACAACAAGCTACGATCACCATCTCACCTTCGCAAGCGCCATAAAAGGCTGCACATCGCCTCTACTGCCGACTGTTATCAATGTCATATTCATTCGCGGAACGTTATCACCCACCGCACGTGGGAACAACACCGGTATCTGCCAACGAGAATCATCCAAAATTGACAATCCGAATAACTCCATCATACTTCCTCTGAAGAATCTCATAAATGGTGTAAACTCATTTCGATTCCACAAAACGCTTCTCAGCGTGACAACACTCATGTTTATTCATCGTAATTTATTACCAAAACTTTTAACAACCACATATGTTGATATACCCGAACAAACACCAAAATCGACATGAAATATATATTTCTTCATATTCGAATAACTTCCAGCACAGTATCAAGACACTCCCAACCGTCATGGCGCGCGCTAATACAAAATCATCTTAGCTCATTCACTGGAGTTCCACCCGTGATACGAAAAACACTAGTGAGAAATACATTCTACGAATATCGGGTTTTTCACTTTGCATAAAAACCACTAATACTTACCATCTCAGGATAGCGAGCAGCAACACCATTAAGGAGAGTCTCGAGTCGAAGGGCCCTCGTATGCCCAACACCATCACTAACATCATCCAGGCAGTCCAGACTAGTGTCGATGTATCTGATCCGTTCCATGAGCAAACTAATATAATGGAGTTCCACGCGTGATGTGAAAAAAACATATCTCACATTTAACTTGGCGGAAAACAATGGTATTATCGGCGGTCGCGGAAACATATACGTCTTATATTCCACATAGAGTATTACTTCACTTCACGTTGAACGGGTGATATCCCAATATCATCCATACTAGAATAATCACGACGAATAACGCCAATAATTTACAAGAATTTTCATGAAAATATTCGCATTGCAAACATACCGCTGACCCTAGAGTGCATATTCCACGACGAAAAGGCAAGCACAGAAGTCAAATTCGTGGCATTGCCCTTCTACGAGAAAAACGCGCGCATAATATCCCCCGACTAACCGCAGTTAATACAGTTGTAAATACCAATGCACTGATCTAGTATTTCGCTCCTTTTTCACAACCACATTTCTCACAAATTCAAGTCTAATCTCCGGAAAATTCTCAACGTAAACGTACTACTACACGACATAACGATACACCCAACGTCATGAAAAATTGCGCATTTTCAACCCAACTTGTTCATACATTCCTATGATTAGTTAGGAAACTCATGAGCTTAGCTGAGGAAAGCGATTACATATATACCATTTCTGGATCCATCCCAGCCACGTACTGCGTCCATCCGTCCTCCCCACAATCATAAATACTAATTTGGTCCTGGATGCCAATAAGGCGACTCCTAAGCTCAGCCGCTGATACCAATAGTTTGTACGATGACTCTGAAAAAATACAAAAAACAGATTTACAAAAACAATGGAGTTTCGCTTGTTTTACGTAAAATGACGGAACACTCTGTGAGAAACCCGATATTCGCGGTTAATGGGATGAGTTTTCCACTACTATTTTTCATATCATGGCTGAAACTCCAATACATCTGCATTTTATCTGCAAAATTTTGGTATACATCTCAGCTCTCCATCGCTTCATCCGCCAGGCGAAGTCTACTCCCTCATGAAATTACAATCGCAGTACCACAATACACACAACAATTTAAAATGGTTTTTCCTGAGTAGTTCATAATAAATTCATCATGAACGACAATTCACCAAAATTTCACCTCAAATTTCCACCAGTGTATGATCACTCTCACTATGTGCTAACTCGTCCATGTATCGAAACCTTGCTCACGTTTCAGCCCCGAACACTTTTTATTTATTTCCGAAAAATTTCGCCACTTCGTTGAAATCCGATAAAATTCATAAGCGGTCAGCGAAAATTTCATCAAATTTCCCACAAATTCTCCGATTCAAAAAAAAAGAATTTAGATATTTCCAGTGTGAAGGGGAAAATGTGAAAATCCTGTAAAAAAATTTTGGGAATTTTTCGTTGATTTCTGTACACTTCGACCACAAACTTCCATAATTAGTGAGAAATATGCTGAGCTCAGCTGAGGTGAGCAAACATATATTCCGACACTGGAGTTCCACCCTAGTGATATGAAAAAAGTGTGAAAAATCTATTCCACGACTGCTGCATAGCGTGAGTATCGCGTTCTTTACAGCGTTTTGCGTAAAACGTGTAAATTTCAAACTTCACTAAAGTTTCACCACCCTAGTGATATGAAAAACATATTTCACGACTACTGCATATCACCGCGAATATTGCGTTTTTCACCACCTCACGTAAAACGGGTTGTTGTGAAACTCCATTGTAAATGTAAAGCAACACTACGTTTCTATTGCCCAAGATTTCCCTCTTACTTTTTTCCAGCTCCACTGTGATATAATACATAGTTCTTTCACTATACTCAGTCGACCATCCCTCGATAACAATTTTCGCATTCGGGCTCACCGGTACAGGATCTCTAGTCAATGCGAATAGAAGTCGCCAGTGACTATCTATTGCTAACGTGTATAGGAATCCTAGGGTAATCCAAAGGTCCCCGGTTCGATCCTCAGTAGGTGCATTATTACCCATTATCATCATCAACAGGAAATTCACTAACCCTGCTATCACCAGCTGAGCTGAGGAGGTGTCCAACCACAACAACGCGCTGATAAACGAATAACAAAAAAATACGCTAAAGATTATCAATACACATGTTTTATGCAACGTGAAATGTGAAATATATTTTCCACTACTGTTTTTCATATCATGGGTGAGACTCCAATATATGCAATTACCCACGATTACGATCTGAATATTCTCACAAAAAAGTAAACTCACTTTTTCAACATAACTTGGCATGCATCATAATTTCAAATTCATTCTATGACTCACCTAAACGTCACCGCCAGTGTCACTATACAATCCAAAAACAACAGGAAAAGATACCCCATATGCGACATAGTAATATGAGTTGCGATAATTGTGAATAAACCCTGAAAAACAACAAATCGATCAACTGGGCGAGCGCTACTCGCTATTACAGGATCTGTATCCCAAACGGTATGATAAAACACCGTACTTCCCTCCGCTTCCACTGACTGACACAAACGACACGCACTCAACCTACTCCGTATCTTCCACGGTCAACCTCAAGATATTACTTACCTTTCTAGCGGAGCGATCAAAGTTATATACGTATACGCATGAGAAGAGACAACAGGCCAACAAGAACATCATCGCGGACAACATTAGTCGACGTTTTCGCCCGTATGAAAACGTCGCGATGAAGCCCGATACAACCAACATTACTGCTGCTAATACTTGCACCTGAGTAAAAAACCAAACCCCAAAATATTGGTATTTTGAGTTCAAAGTTAATTGCAGTGTAGTATACCACATTGACCATACTACGTGAATGATAACTCCTAACAGTATACGACCATCTTTAAACTCTCCAAGGCTACTTTTAGAAAACGAATATTTCCCATACCACACCATCCCGAACGTTTCCGCAATTCCACCAAGTGCCCCTATCCTACCGTTATGCCAGCATACGAAGAGAAGTCCGGTTCTCCCTTGGGCCCTCGGAACGGCTCAACAGCAGCAAACACCATTGCTACTACCAACCTAAACACACAACCTCATGATTATATCGAGGTGTAGTATTAGTATTATTATTATTACAAAATGAAGCCGATTGTCGCCCATTGTGAATGACGGGTAATCCAATACGTATGTCTAGACGAATACCACAACCGGTATCTAAAATCGTTACACAAATTATTTTCCAAAAACTTATATATCAACAAAATACCAAATTACCATCTAATCACAACATTCACAGCAATTAGCGACTACATGCAACACCGACTGCTGTTCGATCATCTCGAACCGCGAATTTCCACCAGTTCTCTCTATGATACAACTTTCTATATCGCCACTATAGTGATAGGACGTAACACGTCAATGACGACTCACACTACGGAGGAGCACATGCGAAGCAATTATGGCGGTAACTGAACGGCTGCATTTTTATTCATCATCAGCTCCAAATTAACTGGAGTTTCACCCATTTTAAGATCATCCTATATGTAAACAACAAGATCCTTGCGTTGTGAAGTGAATGGGGAACATTCCGCGAATTACACCAAACAAATCATCGCCTCATATCACTAGAAACAGATTAAACTCCATTACTACACAAATACTTGCCATCTAATTCTTCCGGAAAAATTGCATGCACCATTTTTTCCCAAATTTAATAAAAAAATTTACATAATCGATCACGCGATCGATATTATCTTCCCATACTACGTCTGTTCATCAACCGTCCTTTCAAACCGTCTGAAGAAGAATGTATTATAACTCTTCTTGAAGTACCGCACCATCTCGTTACTCACTCCCTAAAATCACCAAAAATGTACAAACAAAAATCGCTTCGCTCCGCTGTTCCACTACATGTAATGCAAGCTCATACGAGTCATCTGCTTTCCTGCGAAATACCAGTCGATCATTCAGCACCGAAAACAGATCCGATTCCGATCGCAAAATATTAGTACCACCGACCAAACATAGCCCGAAAACCTGCAAATATGACCCCAAAAAATATGCAGACGTTTTGGAAATTTTCGTCGGTTTTTTACACTGCTACGCCAAGTGGTGCGTGAATATTCATAATATAGTGAGAAATCTCCTAAGCTCAACAGCTGAGAAAACGAGTATCAATTCTTCAAAATATCTTCACAATTTTCATATTGTAATCAACAGAAATAGTTGACCACGTGCATACATTTCCCAAAACTTTCACGAATACTGATTTCCATAAATAAGGAGCGTATTTTTTTCTTAGGCAAAATTCAAAAAATCTGCGTTTCTCGTTAACGAATAAGAGTTTTGAGCTGAAACTAAACAGGATATAGTTATTATCATCATACATCACATGTTGAGTCGAAACGGTCATGTTCGGAACGGTTACTGATATATCATGGCGAGCGAAATAATCACTCCAAAAATCTTATTTTCTACTCCAAAAAACCCCAAAAATAAGTAAAATTGCCACACCGTATGAGGAGACAATATGCACATGGTCAACCACATGTGTTGGTGACAATATGAGAATTATGAGGAAATTTTGCTAATTTTTTTGGGGGTTTCTGTTCACTTCTACCCGAATTCGTATGTAAACTCCTATAAAAAGTGAGGAAATTCTGAGGAAGCAAACATATATTTCAACACTGGAGTTTCACATACCGTGATATGAAAACCATATTTCACGACTACTACTGCATATCACCGCGAGAGTTTTACACCACTTCGCGTAAAACGGGTTGTTGTGAAACTCCACTGTTGCCACACATGCCCGCCCTATTACAAACCAATGGCACGCATCGCCAGCCCATAACTCCAGCAAATACGATGCTACTGCATCACTCTGTGCTGTATACGCGATCACCGAAAGGCTGGTACCTAATACGAAAAAATTTTCACCAAAATTCCAGAAAAAATGGAAAAAAACGCAGAATTTACTAAATGAAAAAATTCTGTTTCTCGCATGACGAAACTGATACCAAAATCTCTAAAATAACAACATGGCGTTTGCGACCAAAAATTTTCTCATAAATTTCCCATCAAATTCTTTTTTTCGTGAAAACCTCACCGTTTCAGATGATCAGGAACAGCATCAGTGTTGGAAAATATGCACATATGCAACTACGTAAACCATGTTTCGTCAACTCGAAAAATATTTCGGAAAACCGTCACAAATCCACAAAATTATCGATCACAAAACCTATTTTTTCGCCAAAATTTCCCAAAACCACTTCTAACACTAAAAACCACCCGTGGGAAAATTTTTTTCCCGAAATTTTTCCTTTTTTTATTACCAATTATCAACACGAACGTAGCAAGAGTTGCAACACTCGGGATCAGCCTCGCAGTAAGCCCTACTGCTACTAACATTATGGGCACCGGTAGCGCGTATATAGCAGTATCATCATAGCCTTCACCAGCTAATATTATAAATTCTGATACCACCACCAGCATTGTTGTTACTGCAACTACTGTGTGAGAATGTTTAGTCGTACGCCAGATTATGAGTACCAACGCACCGAGTAACCAGATACCCTGACACGAATAATGACCGCGCGCCACAAAATTATATTTTCTTTAATTCCTCCCACTTGAAAATTTCTGCGTAGAAAATTTTTTTCCACACCGTACCATGACCGCGCGCCACGAAAATATATTTTCTTTAATTTTTCCCACTTGAAAATTTCTGCGTAGAAAAATTTTTTCCACACCGTACCATGACCGCGCGCGACGAAATTATATAATGTAGTCTCACTCGCGAAATACAAATTGAAAAATATATATCACATTTCACTTCGGGAAAAATCCGCCACCCATTTTATGCGAAGTAGCGCTAAACACTACGTGAAAAACGCGATATTCGCGATACTAAGCGAATTGAGAAAAACGCTCGTTGTGAATTACACCGGACGATTTACCCCACATCACGTAAAACGCCGACCGACTGGTTAATCGCTCAACTAGAATAGAAAATAAAATGGAGTTTCACAACCCGTTTTACGTGAAGTGGCGCAAAACTCGATGAAAAACGCGATATTCGCGGTGATATGCAGTAGTAGCCGTGAAATATATCTTTCACTAGTGTTTTTCATATCACTAGGGTGAAACTCCATTAAATATATCAAAATAACTTTAATATAGACATCAATATGTAATAATTAATATCGCATCGCTCCGCCTCCTTTTATTACCGGTGATATGATAAAGAAAAACGCACCTGACCAAGTCGAGAATGGATCTTCCACAGAGAAGTTCTCTTGGTAAAATAAGTTCCTCAATAGGAAGTGTACTATGAGATGCTGCGATAGATGGGCAAGAAAAGATAAAAACAAAAACATAACCCAATACCGAAAATTCCACTTATTGTAGGTCGACCAGAATTCTAATGATAAGTATCCTGAAAAAAAAGATTCATAATGTTCGCGCTGGGGTAAAAAATTACGGAAAAATGACTGAATTTTCTGAAAAAAAATATATTTTCTGAAATTTGGAAAATTTGTCGAAAATTTTTTTATCATTTGAGTACCGCAAAAGTAATTTATAATATATTTTCTGGCTCAGTTTTCACACTTTACGTGTGGGGAAAAATATGGAAAATTTTGCAAAAATATTTTTTTGACAAATTTGATTTTACTCATTATCTATGAGTAATGATTTTATTTTCTTCTCATTAACTAATGAAAATTGTTACCATAATTTCTCATAAATCAATTTTCACTATGTAAAAAAATAACACGTAATGTAAAATAAGAATTTCATTTTCTAAAATTTTTCTCATAAACTAGTTTAGGTATATAATGGAGTTTCACCCTAGTGATATGTAAAACAATAGTGCAAAAATATATTTCACGACTACTACTGCATATCACCGCGAATATCGCGTTTTTCACCGAGTTTTACGACGCCACTTCACGTAAAACGGGTTGTTGTGAAACTCCGATAAATTATTACTCATAAATAAGAAGTCACTAGCACTGAGATATCTATTTTCATAATCATGATACTGCGTAGTTAAATCGACCATCTGAGCATCTCCCAATCGGGCCGTCTTATGCGATCGGAATGCGGCTCGTATAGTAGAAGTAGGAGGAGGGGAATCTTCGTGGCCTGATGGTAAGATTCAGAATAGGCCCAAAAAAGACACACAATCTTACTTGAAGTACTATGTGGTATAGTGTTATTATTATCGATGATATCAGTAGGTCGAAGCATTTCACAAATCAACGCTTTTGGCCCTCCTGAGACGCTGATTAATTTCGTGGCGCGTGACGATTTTTTAGGTCGTCGGTTCGATCCCCGGTGGAGGTACTTTTCCATCATTTTCGACTAAACTGATCTCGTGTATATATTTGTGGGAAAATAATATGCAACCACATATGTTGGTGGTGACAATATGGAAACTGTGAGGAAATTTTGTGAAATTCTTGTTGGTTTCTATTCTAGGTCGTATATGAACTCTTATAATGTAGCTTTGGAAACTCCTAGGATCAGCTGAGGAAAGCGATTACATATATTCCTTCAACACTGATATGTTCATCATCGATTGATCATTTTACACGTTAAATTCATTTCTGTTGCACTGTTGTTGAAGTCATAGAAATTGTCAACTCTATATAAAATGCTCTTTCACTAGTGAAAAACATATTTCACGACTACTACTGCATATCACCGCGAATATCGCGTTTTTCACCGAGTTTTACGCCACTTCACGTAAAACGGGTTGTTGTGAAACCCCGATCCCACTCGAAAGGAAAACTATTAGTTCGTCCCTTATAGTTGAGTTTAACGACGACTCCTAAGACAGTCTTCAATAGTAAAAGGTGTTGTTTCCTATGCCCAGTCGTAGAAGGGGTCCTCATGTCGGATAACACAACCAGGTAAGTGGCGTAGTAAAGAGAGATAATCTTTTTCGGAAAGTACAATTATCATAAAGCATGACACACCGAGTCATGCGAGTGCAACAAATCATCATGACATGTCTTATACTGCGAACTAATATACCTCTCGTAGAGCAGAGATAATAGCTGAGCTAGAGCAAAGATAATCTTAATCATCCTCACTCCTACACATCTGGGCTCAGCGGGGGCCAGCCGTTTCATGCAGAGTCGTTTCATTAACAGAGGACGAAGTGAAAGTACTGTGGCGAGCGCCATTGGTGATTACGATGCACATCTACCACATCGGTAGCAGTAGATTGCCTCGGACCAGTTTTATAATACATGTTTGCTCTCCTCAGCTGAGCTCGGCAGTTTTTTTATAAAATACAGAAGTTTATATTAAAACCGGGTAGAAATGTACAGAAACAAGTGATAATTTTTCCCAAGAAAATTCTCGAAAATTTCTAATTTCGCCGACAAATGTGTGCATATTTTCCCTCCGCACTGCCTCGGAAAGTTTATATGAAAGTTGTCGTATGTTTGCTCTTTTTACAGCATGTAGTTTATACGTGTTGTTACTGGGATTTCTATTCACCCAGTGTTCCCCCCAGCGTATCTTGAGGTTGACTATGGAAGATACAGATGAGGCCCAACATTAGCCTAATCGATACAGATGAGAAAGGGCAAGAGGAGAGTAAGGCGAATAACAGCATTTCTCAGGACACGTTCATTGGAGTTCCACGTTTTACGTGAAGTGGCGTAAAACTAGGTGAAAAACGCGATATTCGCGGTGATATGCAGTAGTAGTCTTGAAACATATTATTCACTAGTGTTTTCTATATCACTAGGGTAAAAGCCCACTGTAGTAAATATAAATTCATAAAAATGCATTTATGAAATTTTTATGAAAACCAACTCTGAAATTGAATTATTCAATTTGAATATCGTTTCTACACTTTTTCGAGAACTTTTCCTTAAATTTACAATTTTTTCACAATTTGGATTTTGTCGTTATTCTTTGGATTTAGTAATTTACCCAATTTTCGCCATTTTCATTGCATGCAAGTGCGAGTCGTTAGTAACAGAATCGATGTGGTAGTATAAAATACTGTTTGTATGTATTTGTGATTGTTATTCGCATTTGTGTAAAGCAGTGTTGTTCGCTTTCCTCAGCTGAGCTCAGGAGTTTCCTCACTAATTATAGAAGTTTATATGCACCTGAGGTCGACGTGTATAGGAACGAAATAATTTCCCGAAATTTTAGCAGAATTTTCAAATTGTTACCAACACATGTTGCAGACCATAGACAAATTTTCCGATTCTGATGAGCTTACAGTATTTCGTTCTTGAACTTACATAATAAACTGAATGAATTCGAAAAACGGTTGAGGTTTTACAGTTCATTCGAATATTTGCACATGGTCAACTACGCGTGTGTTGGTGACAATGAGGGAATCCTAGTTGGGTTTTTTGTACACTTTTACCAATAGCGTAGCGTTTGGAAGCTCTTGAGCTCAGCCGAGGAAAGCAGAAAAGTATACATTTCGATATTTAATAAAACAAGGCGAATTGATTACTCGTGTTGAACAGATTTCTGGGATTGATTTTTAGTTTGCATTTTAACTAATACTTTTGGTGTAGCGGTAGAGTGTAGTGATGTCTATCGGTAGGTCGTTGGATCTTTTCTGGTCATCGGCATTTTACTCTGTACCGTTATCTATGATTATGACTTTGATTTTTGACATTCCGTCTCTCATGAAACTATTCATGATTCATGCAACTGTCAGTCGTTTTTCCCGAGGAAAATGTGATTTTTTTGGCGCGTGTTTCTGGGAAATATATCTCTGGGGGTTTACAGTATACCCCGTAATGGAATCATTATACCCTATTCATATCTATTTATATGTTGTATTATTATATATTTGTGGGATTTCATAGTTTCACGTGAAGTGGCGTAAAACGGGGTGAAAAACGCGATACTCGCGGTTATATGCAGTAGTAGTCGTGAAATATATTTTTCACTAGTGTTTTTCATATCACTAGGGTGAAACTCCGATGTAACGTGGCTAAACGAAGGTCATAATATAATACGTTAGTAATAGAGTACAGTTGATATTATCTAGTAACACTAAAGGGTTATTAATATCTATATATAAATATATTTTTATTGATAATCAAATACTATGCTATGCTGTTATGAAAGTATGCGCCGTTTTCTTGGTGTAGGAAAAAGCTCTCGGTGTGTCGGGTTAGGATTGTTATCAGTTCTTCACCTAATACCATAAATGCTTCAAATAACCTGAATGCCCATACACACTCATCATCATCATCATCATCATCATCATCATCATCATCATCATCGTCATCATCATCATCATCATCATCATCATCATCATCAACAGACTCAGGGGGACAGGTAGTAAGAAAATGTTGAACGGAGTTTCATGCCAGTCGGTGAAGCTAATAGACATCAGACTTAAAAGCCATACATTTGATGCTTGTGTCCAGCACAGCGGAGCGAAGTGTTTCACGATGTGCATTATAACGGGTATACTGTGGAATTGATAAGTAATTGAAGGTACTATAAGCTGCATAGGTTTAGGCATAATGAGGCTGAGGGGAGAGGGGATCATGAAAGGTAGGCGTATCTTGAGGTTGACCGCGTAAGATACGGATGAGGTTGGTTTATGGTCACTTTAGGATACCCAAGGGAGCCTCTCCAGTCGAGTTGGCAGGAATGGCTGAGAGAATGGCAAGATATGCGCATCTGGCGGAATCAGAGGTGGACGTATCTTTGGAAATCTTCGCTGTGCGCAATGTTATTCGAAGCGACTTGTTGCCAGGCGATGAAGAGAGCGATGCTGTTGGGACTGCCAGGGGGTGGATGGTAATTTCGTGGCGCGTGACGGTGAGGGGATCCGCTGGTGTGAAGGTATCCAAATCCTTTAACTGGGCCGAGCTCACCGTTTGACGATCCAAGCATTATGCAGGGCTTGCCGGGAGGGAGTCCGAAGTACCCTTATATTGGGCCTCGGGTGAAATGCCGATACCAGGAATCGTACCCGGGACCTGCCGTGGTAGATCCATCCTGAATACGAATTTGCAGTTGGTATGCCTCCAACACTACCGCCTCTTTGGGCGTCGTCGTGCTCGGCGATGATGATCTCAGCTGCAGTTTCGCGCGCCCTGGTGATCGATAAATCGGAATTGGGGAAATTCATTTGATGGTCATGTGTTTTTGTAGTAATTTTCCGAAAAATTGTTTGGTCCTGGGATATTTTTGTGGCGCGCGGTAAAATTTGGTCAGTTTTTCTTTGAAATGCTACTAGCACCGATTTCGTCAGCAGAACGCAGGAAAGGGAAGACTCGTCATGGAGGTGTCGCAAGTCTGGTCCGAAGGGCCCAGAGGATCTCTTGGAGATGGTTGGACGAGAGTATAGGAAGGATCGAGAAACGCGTTAATGTTATCGAGAAATTGATGGTGGAAAATGTCGCGCGCCACGAAATTGTTGAGGCTGAACTTGAGAGCAGCAGCTTATTTCTGAGACCGTGGGGCGTTGAGGAAAAGCAAGGACGAGCAAGATTGCAAGATTTGCCTTTACGGAGATGTTTGCCTCCTCGGAAGGAGGAATTTCGTGGCGCGGTGACGCGTAATGTGAGAGCGGGGTCTGCATGCAGGCCTCGAGATGGACCGCCGCCGTGGCGTTGATGTGATTAATGTTGTTGATGATGATGGTATCGAGTTTAGTATGAGAATTGCCGTTGCCGGGAATCGAACCCGGGATCTTTAGTGGTGCAGGGTGCAGGAGTGGACCCGGGAATTTACTGCCCAGCGACCCATTTAGTTTGGCGAAATAACGTTTTGATAGCAATGGGGAAAATGTTACTAATGTGATGACATCTACATGGGAAAGTGATTGAAAAATGTGGAAAATTCAAAATGAGCTCTCCCCGGGAACATTATGGGTTTCTGGATGATTCTCTCTGCTACTGTGTTTCAGTTTGGCGTTGATCCGTTTCCCTGCGGCCACCGTCCCACCTCGGTCTGATGAATCCGTCCGGTCTGAATCCGATGGGGTTCTCTCGGGGACAGCACGAAAATGATGGACGGATTTGTCCGCCCCCACAGTGGCAGTATTTTCCCGCGCGCCACGAAACTCGTCAACCCGAAGTAAGATGCCTCTCGTCACAGATGTTTTGAAATATTAATGCATGTGTTTGATCCATTCATAATCGATCACCGTGGCGTGCGCTTTTTACATATTCACTTTTTATCGTAGGTACAAGCTCCTTCAAGAGTAACGTATACACGACCCTCGCCATCGTCATCATCATCACAATATGGGTGATAATTTCTATTCTGCTTCGCTCCGCTAAGAATAGTTGCATCTTTTTCAGATATGCCAGTGCTCCTCGTGTGCATCAGCAGCCGAATCATTATCAGCACCCACAGCAGCAGTCGGTGTATAGAATGCAGAGTGAAGGGATGATGATGCCTCCACCCAATCCCATTATAGGAGGAGGCGGAGGGGCTGTGCCGCAACAATCATTACGTCATTATCAACAGGATGGATATCTTCCAAGTGGTCAAGGAGTAGGTTTATCGTCCGGATGGTGTCTGGTTCGGATCTCACGAGATGCATTTTTCGCCTCTTTTATCTTTCTGTATTCCACCAAGTGAACACATGCGTTGTATTCCTTCACAGCATGCCACGCTGGTTGGATCTAGAATATCATTATACTTTTTTTATTAAATTTCGGAAATTTTTCGGAAAAAAAATTGAACGAAAAACTAATTCACGTGGTAGTAGGTTAACGGTTGAAATTGCATTTGAACATCAACCAACACTGGCGGAGGGCTTTCCAGTGCTCCCGTTATTCACTTTATATTTCCCGTTGTTCTCGCGGAGTTTCGTCTTGTGTATTCACCACAGACGATCTGACTTTATATTTTCTTGAGAAATTGCAGCAGAGTGGATGTTTGTATTTCCATGTCTACAGTACGGGTCAATTTGATACTATGCAAATGTGAAGAATGTGCGTTTTCTATTCCGGGATTAATGATAGTGAACAACTTGTCGCTATCATAGTCTCGAAAGGTTACTTTTATCACATCACATGTTCATAGCAATGTTTACATTGTTTATGCGATGTTATATTAATCTCGGAAAATAACACACATTTGCATATCACATTGACACGCACTCATACCGATTTTTGGTGTTTTCTCAGATCAACGATCGTGTTGTCGTTACTCCTCGTTCCTACGGTTTGCCAGGAGCCACACCTGTGAATTGCAACACCTACCATTCAGAATCAGTACATTATCCCACACCTAGAGGCGGCGGGGTAAGCATTATGGAGAGAATGGTTTTTTTATTATTATTTTCATACCATCTTTTTCTCACTTCCTAGGTTGCTTCTCGAGTTCGTCGATACCCCTCTGGAGCGGACGTGAGCTCCTCATCGTCATCTACCTGCGGATTTGCTCCGGCGAACGTCAGATCGCGCGAGCCAGTCTCAGCTGTTTATGGGGCCTATCGCCAATATGATGCCAGCAGGTAGGGAGGGATGCGTATCTTGAGGAATCTTTGGGTCGCGCACTATGAAGATTTCTGACTTCACACGAGATCACTGTTAGCACTATGGCTGAATTTTGTATCGGAGTTGGCATGCTTTCTCATTCAGTGGCAACTCGTATACGTACACCAGTCAGTCAGCGTTCAAGGCAACTACGGGGGCAATGCGTAAGGACCCAGGTTCGATCCCGGCACATGTCGTTTTTCCCTCGTCCAGGAAGCACAGCTGTTATACTCCTCATGGGCTCGTACAGTGAAGAGCTCTGTCTTAGCGCCAAGCAGGCCATCCTAATGGTGCCAGGAGTCATTGCTGTTACCACTCAACAAGTAAGGTCGCGTTGAGGAAATGCAAGATTGCAAGTGGATGATTATCAGGTTACATGGGCTCGAAAACAGAAGGCGTATGCGACTGTCTCGTTGGTCCGAGGGTTGAATTCTGCGATGCAGAACGCATTATTGAGAACACTGGAAGAAGCGGGAATTCAGGTGGGCGCTGGGGGAAAATATGCACATGTTCCACTAAGGAGCGTATTTTTTTCTTAGGCAAGTTCGAAAAATCTGCGTTTCTCGTTAACGAATGAGAGTTTTGAGCTGAAACTTCAACTAAGCATAGATGTGTTGGTGATAATATGAAAATTGTGAGGAATTCTCGAATTGTTTTCTGCATAGTTCTACCTTAATTTCAATATAAACTTCTACAATTAGTGAGGAAAATCCTCGGCCCAGTTGAGGAAAGCAAACACATATATTCCAATGCTGATTGCAAGTGAGCTCATATTGTCGATGTGTGTTTTTCTCTAGGGGCTAGTGATTGCTGAAGACACTCTGAAGGAACTTATAATGTCTTCGGCGAACGATGGATCGTCATCATCTCGGAATCAAGACAAGCAAAAACTAGAAGGTAAACATTTCCTCATTATTTACGATGTTTTTGTACTGTATTTTCAGCTCTGTCAAAAAAGTTTTGAATTTCGGGAAAAAATTTTGAAAAATTTCTGAATTCGTTTCTTGAAAAAAATCGGATAGGAATCCTTTCATGGGATTTGAGAAATTTTCGTTTTTCGGTGCATCTTGTAGTTGTGTGTTAGAGGAGCACCATGAGGCGATCATTGAGGCGGCGAAGACGATACCGGAAGGAACGGTATCAGCAGCAGTGGCTAGCAGACAGGCGGCGATGAGGGAATACAGTGAGAGAGGTGGCGAAGCAAGCGTCACGCGCCACGAAATTGCTCGAGAGAAATTTGACAGGTGTGTCGACGGACTCGATCGGGTCTGGAATACGGCGGCGAAGTCTTGCTGAGAGCCATGCATGTGAGTGGGATATGAAGAACGTTTTAGAGTGTGTGATTTATTCCGATCGTCAGTACTCGGCCAAGAGTCCCCTGAAGGCGGAGTGGAGAGGGCCAAGGAGGTGAGGAGCGTTGAGGAAAAGCAAGATTGCAAGTGGTGCTGAGTGATCCTCTTCCAGGCTCTTCAGATCGAACTACCGCATTTAGAAAGTGAAAGCTCAGCGCCAACCGTGACTTCAATCGAGCACGATTCGGAAAACTCTCGGGGGAGCGATAAGGAAAATGAGGGCGGGTAGTGGACAGTTAGTTGCATAATCGTTCGGGGCATCTTTCAACGATTATGTGTGTGAATTTTTGTCCGTATTCGTAGATGTGAATCTGAATCGGTGGCTATAACCCGTCTTGTTCTCGTGAGATGGAATGAGTAGTTATTCGGAAAGGTTGTGGTTCAGTGACAATCCCCGTTCGATTCCTGAGCTCGACGCTGCCAAGGTGGAGCCATCGCTGACACTACCACCATACGATCGGCAGTGGGTTCCTCTGTCGGACTTACCCCTCAGAGATAGGACGGGATCGTCAATGCGCAGGAGGAAAGATAGTGGAGGTAACGACTGGTCGCGGACATAGCCTACCGGTGTAGGAAAATATGCGCGGTTAGCTGTGTTGGTGACGGAAATTCTTGTTGGTTTTTTTATATACTTCTACCCCAAGTCGCGTATGAATTTCATAACGTAACTTTGGGAACTCCTGAGGTCAGCTGGAGAGACCAAATATATATTCTAATGCTGTACTCTAGATGCGAGCCCGATGAGCCCAGAGTACATTGAGACTGAGGAAGGAGCGAAGGACGCGGTTGGTCGGTGGCTGGTGAGTCGACTGGAAACGGCGCTAGGGTGTCAGTTGTGGTTTTCAGAGTGAGAGTCCTGATCGTTGCAGTGATGGAAGCAACTCAGTGATGCACCGAGACTCTTTTGATGACTCTTTGTCGGGTGGTGATGATGATAATGCATACTTGGACGAGTACGGCGATCCCACGAAGCAGAATTCGAATGCTCAAATGCAGTTCTTCAATCAGGCGGCGATGAGCTTTGGATACACTAGAGTAAGTGGCCTATGATGTGTTGGTTTGGCAAGATGGGATATCTCAGGCTTTGGGCATGCACGAGAAATTTGCAGGAGTTGTTACACTACATACTGGTGAAGATCACCCGTCAGAAGAAGCAGCGAAGGAAGCGACGGAAGGTTCGTCGAAAGGGAAAGAGCCTGATTCAAAACACTATTATGGCGGTTCGTGGTTTGGGGGTTGGCTCGGGAACAACTGAGACCCCCTGATCGACGCGCTATTGCATGCTTATACTTATCATATGCAGCATCGAGTTGCTTGAGATATGCTCCCTCAGTGTCTCTCTGGAGAGGAAGTGTTTATGATGATGTTGCCTAGTGTAAAGTGGTGTACTTTATCAACTACCATTGCTCCTATCGGCTGAACATCTTGCTGCAGTGGATCCGAATTGGTATCTAGATAATCCCTCTCATGTTGCGTTCGATGGATTGATCGAGGCCCCGAAAGAGTTTTCGAGGAAACACTCGGCCCGAAAGTATTGAATGGATTGAATGAATGATCAGCTGAGCAGAGCTGCTGAAACTTTGCTGTATAGTATGATACTATACATGACTCGAGATGCAGCTTTGCCGCCTTCCGTGACGGAAGTTCCCTGACCTAAGGTAGCTCGCCTTCAGAGTCTGAATCAGTGCAGAATCCATCTCTTACTATAAGGGATACCATAATGCTTAGTAAGCATACTAAGGTCGCAGAAGGCGGGCATTTGGGTTGCCAATATGAGTCAATCAGATGAATTTGGCGAGACTATCACGAGAACTGCTAAGGAACAAATACCCTTGTGCGCGTCCTACTTCTCGTGAACTCTTGATTGTCCAGCGATCGCGAGTGAAAGTCTGGCGAAAGTGAAACACTTCGAACGACTATCGTGACTCACGATTCGCGAGACGCATCATTCCAACAAACCCATACTTCGTTTTTAAAGTAGTGTGCTAGTGTATCTTTGGTAATTCCCAAATCGATCTTCATACTAGGAAATCTGGCATTCGATACTCTCGTTGCAACGGGGGTTTCTCCAATATCCCAATAGGATCATTGCACGAGTCAGCTCTGCGCTTTGCATGGTAACGAAGGAGGAAACCTTTGCTGTCTAGTGCTTTTTAGTAGATTGGCCCCCTTCAGGGATGAGGAGTATGTGGCGTAATAGTTGCAGCTGCCTCACTGAAGAGGTTGGTGGAGAACTCAAGAAGCCTCTACAGCGGTTCTGATCATCAGATGGAAAATCATTCGTTCCAGATTATCAACAGTGCTGTACAATGAATATGAATAATATCCATCACTCTCTATACCGCCTGGACCGATGATAAGCATCTAGTTGCAGCGACCTCCAAGATTCTCTTGTAACGCTCATCTCTCTCGTAGACGCTCCGATGCCGAATTTAATATGGAGTCATATTACGGGTATCTTCTCGTTCGATTCAGCGAAGAGAGCGTAGAGGCCTTGGATGTTGCTTATGCGAGCCTCCACCAGAGGTTGGCATTCTCTCGCGACCGACCGGCTCATTAGCACCACTAAGACCCTTTTGATACTA